AACGGGGAGGAGGAGGGGAAAGGGCCGGGCAGGAGCTGGTCAGGCCGAGCAGGAGAGGGGGTCGGATGCGTGCGCCCACTGCCTGGAATCTGATCTCCCAGTGTGCGCCCTGGGGTGCGCCGGGAACCTTGGGGCGAGTGGGCCTCGGGCCACCCCGGGACTTGGGTTGTTAGACGAACTTTTTTTCTTTTCTTTTTTTTCTTTTTTTGTGAAGGTGATGACTTCCAAAACTGGGAATAATTCAGAAAAGGAGCTCAGCTGCGGAGCTGCTGCTCTGCACCACCCTTTTATCTTCCCTCCTCCTCTCTGCCTCTCTTCCCTTCGGACTAGTTTTCCCCCCATCGGTTCTAAACAGCTTCTTTCCCCCCTGAACTTTAATGCATTTAATTTGGTCCTCGCTGTGGGAAGCATTTCCTAGGGAGATACATTTAATTTCGGAATTTCTAATCCCCTCCCTGAGAGGCCGGGCCCTGGCTCCCCTCGCTACTCCCCAGGAGGCCTCAGGAGTGGAAGGAGGAAGGCAGGCCCGGCCAGCAGGCTGGGGCACGGCTGGGGGGCTCCCGCTCCCCCAGACCCCCCAGACCAAGCCGCCTTCCTAAACTTCTGGAGGTGGGGTGCCTGGGCCACACCGTTCAGAGCCCATCCTGCGGAGGGGAGGCAGCCACACCTCTACTTTTCCTCGCCCGGTGGAAAGCCCTGGGTCAGGGACTGGGAAACTGGAAAATGAGCAGAAAGATCGCCAAAGAATCGGTGCAATTGGGGGCAACAGACAGGGTTTCCATAAGCCCATCCCTTCATGCACAATCTGCCCAGAAACCAATTTGGGAGTTGGGGTGCTAGTTGGGTGGTTGGTTTGGCTTGGGGGGGGGTGTCCTTGCGTTTGCACATAGTAGGGCGGAGAAAGGAGCTCAAGGGGGACTACTGTCTCCTGACTCCTACACCCTAGCAGAGCAGGCACAGGCAACCGGAGACTCAGGCAGCTTTGCTGGAGGAAGGCAGCAAGGGTGGGGGCTCTGGGCGCCAGGCAAGCCTGGCAGGGAAGGGAGTGGAGAAGGCAGAGGAATGGAGATCCACAAGGAAGATTTATTGGGCAGATCAGATGCACAGAGGCGGCTAATGAAGCAAATCCCGAGATGGGTATCAGAGCAACTCCCCAAAAGTTTATTTGCCTTTAAATTTCCGCAGGGAGGCGGGCGCCTTGTTTGAAGTGTAAATGCCCCTGGGTTGGGGGGTGGATGGGCCGCTTTGAAAACACCAGAGAGAAAAGGTTCATTTAGAGGCGGACGGAAAAGCAACCAACCCTGACAGGTCGGAGCCCCGGTTGTGTTTGGGGTTGGGTTGTTTTCTTTCTTTCCCTTTCCTTTTCTCTTTCCTCTTCTTTCTTCTTCCCTTTCTTGTTTTTTTTTTCTTCTTCTCTACTAGGCTCTATAGAAGAAAGGGAAGGACAGGAAAGGGAGCATCAGCGGGAGAGGCCAGCCCTTCAGCCTGGAGCCCCAAGAGAAGGCAGAGCCTTGGCTAAAATCACTAGGGAGCAGGGCTCTTTGACTTTCTAGACCCTGGAAGGGCTGGAGCTAAGGAGGAAGCTGCCAGGGCCTGGCCTGGGGGAGGCTGACCAACTTGTGTAGTGCTGGATGGAGAAGTGGTCCCAGAAGGGGCTGAGGTGAGGTGGGTGGAACTCTGGAATCTCAGGGGCTACCTGGGAATTGGACTGTCATGGAAAGGTCTTCACTTCTTAGGGGGTACTTGTGTGAGAACTACGTCCAGCATACTTTGTGCATTAAGTCCCCTTCTTTACAAAAGGTGAAAGCGCCTCTTGCAAATGCCTGTTGTCTGCACCCACACGTCAACATACGTGTAATGTAGGGATGTGTCCGGCTGGTTCTAGAAAAACCTGAATCTATGTGTGGTTCTGCCCACAGTCTTGTTCCTCCAGTAGTTCAGCTTCTCAAAGACAACTTCCTGGACAACACAGGGAGATGGGAGAGAAGGGCTCCCTGAGTTCTGAGCTCCTTTCAATAAGGACCTTTCCTCGATACCCCCAAACCCCAATTCTGGGTTAATTACCTCCCCGAGAAAGCCCGCGCCTGTACCAACTAACACCACCTAGGAGCCTGGACTCCCAGGCCTTTCCCTTTAGACTGAAAGAACTCTGGTTTTCCTTTTTCACTACCCACACGAAGTTAGTGCGTGTTCGTGGGGTTTTGAGGCCAAAGCAAACCCGAGAGCGCCATCTGCAGGTCTCCAGAGGAAGAGACTGACCTTCAGGGCTGGACCCTGCGTCTTCAACCTCCCGCCCTAGGTAATCCGCTTGGCCACCCGAGGGAAGTGGGGTTGGGGGCTGCGAGGGAGGAGGCAGGTGGAGAGGGGTTTTTCCTCTCAGAAGTTACTTAGCAGGTGGATTTAGGGGATCGGGCTCAGGAGGATCTAGGAAGTAGGGTAAATGCTAGGATCCCAGCAGACCCGGTCCCCTAATGAGTGGAGGCTCAGAAACATGTCAGGCTGCGCCTGGCCCCGTGAGAGGATTAAGGGCACCCCCCCCCCCCAAAACCTGGGTGCAAGAGGCCCAGTAGGCGTTTCCTCCTGGCGGAGACGGGTGAGTGTAGCCCCAACGTTAGCGGCCGCCTGGGCTCTGCCTGCCAGCGGGACAGCCGGTTCTGCAGGCAGGGGCCAGAGGAGCCCCGAGTCCGGGAGGCTGGAGCGCAGCGCGGGCTTCCCCGAGCCGCCCTTTCACAGACCCAGGGAAGCGGGGGGAGGGAGTGAAGGAGGGAGAGAGAGTTAAAACATCAGCTGAAGTGCCAAGATGATTTATGAGACGAGGGAAAATATTTCATAAAAGATCTCCTGGATATTCTGTACTTAATCAGGTAGGAGACAAGGGCTTCTCCTGCCTGTGCGTG